TCACTAAATGAGCTGTTGTTTGAGTACTATCAATACATGGTGGTTGCCACGTGCCTGAATTTTGATCGTGTGACCACAGTGAGGTGGTGACGGTCATAAATGTGAGACTTTTTTTTAAAAAAAAGTTGCATTAAAAAAAAAATTAACCAAGTAAAAAAAGATGCTCCTGGGGCAGAGGGGGTTGAACCCTTTTTATTTCATGCCCATTTCACACACAAAAAAGTCCACCCCAAAATTTCACCAAAATAGAGATGAAAATTCCAGACCCCTTCCCTTCTTTTTTTTAGATGGCAGCCAAGGAGAAATTTTTTTAAAAAAAGGATGTTTGGAAGGGGAAAAAAAGCTGCAAAAAGTTCATTTCACGGACTGAAGCCTGAAGTTGAGCGGCATCGTCTATTGACTAAAGATCTTGCTTTGTGCTTTGTAATTGCGAGACTTTCAATCAATAAAAATTATTTATTATGGCTGGTCACACAATCAGCCAGATGTTGAGATGGGATTTGGAATTTTTGTCCATCTATCCAAGCTTTCCTGAGGACCTGAGATACGCAGATGTTGCTGTTTAATAATATGAAACTATTCCAGCAAGTGGCGTCTCCCTCGTCTTGAATGAAAAACATGGCCATCTGTTTGATAGATTGAAGGTCTGTTTGTCCTGATCATTTTTATTAGCTGTGTTCTCTTGAAGAGCAAGCTCTTCATTTCCTCCCCCCCTTTTTTTAAATGATTCTGTTGATGAAATCCAACTAAGAAAATGCAGTTTTGAAATAAAGGATGAGGAAGGAATTAAGGATCAATAAATAAAGGCATGGACTCAGAAGGTGACCTATTCCGAATAAAGCTGCTTTTTGCAATTTATTAATATGGTTGATCACACAGTCAGCCAGACTGGAGTTCTTGTCAAATTATCAAACCCACCGAAGGACCCGGGAGAGGCAGTCACTGTGGTTTGATGATATTAAAGTTATTCTTGCAGGATGTAAGCTGTTCCAAGTAAAGCTGGCTTTTGCAATTGACTGATGGTGACTTGTGTCAATTATTGTTATATACACAACAGTTCTTTAATTGAAGTTGGCCTTTATATGCATCAAGCTCTTCCCAAGAATCTAGGATGATGTCATAATATATTGGTGTAGGTCCTCGGATATGCCTGGATGAAAACAGTGTGGCTTTTTGTAATTGACAGATGGACATTTGGCAATGTGCAGAATTTCTAAGTGCTGTCCAAGATTTTGGGGCATAGCACCCGGTGTGCCAATAGCCACTGGGACTACCACGACCAGTTTATGCCATAATCTTTCAACTTTGATTTTTTTTTTTAGATCTTGCTCCTTTGCGATCTTCTCCAATGGTTTGTCTCCTACTATCCCATTATTGCTTCTGTCAGGGCTCCAACAAATCCACCGTAAGTCTCTAGCCGCATCTCTCAGAGTAAAAAAAAAAAAGATTTATTAGGAGTGACCATGTCGGTGTTTCCTGGGTGCAGCAGGCACGAAGACACATCATTCATTTCCCCTTTGAACTGGTCTTCCCCCCCACCCCCTGGGTGTATATTCTCCAATGGGACATATCTATAGCCACGAGTCATCAATCATGCTCTCCAGTAATAATCTTGCGCGCCAACAGCTTTGGCTGCCTAGCAATTATCTGAAGCATTTAAGGAATGCACTACTTTCCCCTACTCCCTTTCTGTTGGCAACTAAAAAGACCAAAGAAGTATTTAGTAGACAGCCACATCAATTAGCTACCGCTTTCTTCTTTTCCACCACAGTTAAATCTCTTGTGTATTATGGGTCAAGAATATCTATGGAGATTCTCAGTCATCCAGATCATGGTTGTCCCAAAGGTGCTTTTAAAACAGGACTTCCTGGTTTTTCTTTGAAGACATTTCGCTTCTCATCCAAGAAGCTTCTTCAGCTTCTGGATCAAGAGTTTATCAGATAAGATTCAGAAATCCCACAATGTGACTTATCACGCTGTCAGCCAGGTGTTGAGATTGGATTTGGCATTTTTATCCATCTATTGGGTCTTTCTCAAGGACAAAGCAGAAGATGTTGTTAAAGATACCACCACAGGAAGTAAGCTATGCCAAGTAAAGGTACCTCTTGCAATTGACTGATGGTGATTCTGTCAATGCCGATGGTGTTCAAATGGTCCTCCAGTTATTATTACTATGGTTCACTGCACAGTCAGCCAGATGTTCAAACTGGATTTGGCATTTTTTTCCGCTTATCGAGTCCTTCCCAAGGACCTGGGACAAGTAGATGTGGATGTTTGATTGTATTAAAGGTATTGTCGTAGGATGCAAGCTGTTTGAAATTTGTTTGAATATTTAGTAGCTTGGCTTGGTAGTTAGGCTGTTGGTTTGAGCGCTGAACTTGGCAATTTGATTGCAAACGTTTCATCACCATTCGAGGAGACATCGTCAGTGAGTTTTGAATTGTGCTCGTCTGTCAGAACACAGGCCTTTAAATACCTTTTTATGAGATGCAAATTAGCCTGAATGTTGTTTGTTGGGATATTTCTGAGTCATGGTCTGATTTCAAACTGTTTGATTGGCTGGCACTTGTTCCTAGGCTGTAGTTAAGTACTGTCTGTGTGAAGCAGATTAGGATTAGATGTAAGGTGTGTTGGTTACATTAGAATGTAAGCTGTTCGCAGTAAAGCTGCCTTTTGCAATTGACCAACGGCGATTTTGTCAGGGCTGAAGGTTTTCAAGTGGTGCTCCAGTTGCTGTAATTATTGGTTTGGCTTTCCAATTTGGAGACATAGCTGAGACACAAGACCTCTCAATAGGTGCCAGGACAAATCAAGCTATTGTTCCAAACTGTCCAAGCGGGGCCTGACCTGAATCTAATGGACAATGTGCAACATAAAATGACCCCCCCAAAAAAACCACCCCTCCTCTTAAGAACAACTGTGTCAGCAAGCTTCCAATGGTGAAGGCGTATCACAACCTCAGTGAGACCAATTTTTGCAGGTTCATCTTAAGAGAGCTGTAAGGATGGTCTCCAACGTAAGAAGCCAACAGGAAAAAATTCTAGCAGTGGGACCATCAGGGTGGAAGAAGAAGCAAGCAGAGTTTTGTTGGCCGCATGAAAGCCTATTATAGGTGCGTGGTGACCTTGCACAGATATACAAAAGGGCCGCAGAGTATTTATCGATCTGTAACAAAAGCACAGAGGTTTTTGCAGTCCAAACCACAGCAGCAGAATTCCTGTTCCTCTTCCATATTCAAAACTAATTGGCCATTGGACAGAAGAAATTATTAATCCCAATGATGCTGACCTGCATTCCTTCTTTGGGTCTAGATTTTTTTTCAACTTCTAACACAGTGTTTTCCAAACTTTTTCTTTCCTTGCTCCAAAACACGTAGCAGGAACTAGGAGGGAGTGGGGGGTTTGCTCTTATTTTAATCTAGTAACGGCTTGCCCTGGCCCTACATTGACAGGACAGGACACAGCTATAGAAAAATAAGAGGAAACCTCACCCTCTCCTAGCCTTGATGATGTTACCTCGTTGCAGGGCTGGGCCGCTGGGGGTTGGAAGGGGCTCGGGAGGATACATCTGCACAGTTCAGAGAACCCTCAAATCCCACTCCTGGCTGGCACCACCCACCCTGCCCTGCCCCACTCCAACCAGGAGTCCCCACGCGGCCCGCTTTACATGCACCTAAGAGCAGGATGCGCACGGAGGCTCAGAGACGGTGAAAAATGGGCCTCCCAGAAGTTCAGGAAGGCTGGAAACAGGCCTGTTTCCAGCTCCCAGAGAACCTCCGGATCCCGGGGAGGCCGTTTTTGCCCTCTCAGAGGCTCAAGGAAAGCCTCCAGAGCCCAGGGAGGGCAACCCCCCACACACACACACCATGGTGCAGGAAGCTGACTAAGCCATGCCCACCATGGACACATCCACCCAGCAACTGGGCAGAGAACCCCTTGCTAAAATTTTTGAAGCCCAGCTCTGCCTAGTTGGGTAATGAAATATCTGCAGGAAAACCACCAAATTCAGAAATCTTTTTTTCCCCTACCTCTCCCTCCCTCCCTCCTTCCCTCCCTCTCAAACTAGCTTTCAGGGAGACCGCAAACCAGTGACAACTATACAAATGAAAATGTTCACATGCACCTGTTAATGGCTACCTGTTAAGTAAGATCTGGGCCCATCCCTTCCATCCCACCCTTCTGATATCCATCAACACTTCCTTTCAAAGCAAAACCCCAATGTCCTTTCCTTTCCATCACATGGAATGCTCAAAAGGCAGAAGAGAATTCTTGGCTCAGCACCAACTTCGCGTGGAATAATAATAGCATAAGAAAAAAAGAAAAGGTCACTTAAATCCAGGGGATGGGGTCTTAATTAGGTAAGAAATTAGCCCACAAAACAGCAAAGTATTGTGATGATCAGGGGTGTTCAACTCAAGGCCCATGGGGCAGATGCAGCCCACGATATGGTTGGATCCAGCCTGCATCTACTCAGTGGGAAGAGGGAAGATCGGGCCAGCTTGGCTTCGTCCTGGTCTACCCAATGTGAAGAGGGAAGATCAGGCCAGCCTGGCTTCGGCCCGGTCTACCTGATGTGAAGAGGAAATACGCCAGCAGTTTAGGGAGTGGTGTCAAGCTGGCCACGCCCACCCAGTAGGCCACACCCACACCCACACCCACACACCCCAAGGTCAACCACAGCCTTGATGCGGCCCTCAATGAAATTGAGTTTGACATTTCTGGTGATGCTGATGATTACGACAAGGGGTTATCCATGGTGGGGTTGTGATTATGGTTTGTCGCACATCAGGTGTTTAGACTGGGTTTGGCCTTTTTATCCACCTATCGAGTCCTTCCCAGGGACCTGAGATAGGCAAATGTTGATATTATTATTATTATTATTATTATTATTATTATTATTATTATTATTA